CTGAAAATCACCGTTATATGGGAGGTAGGCGTGGTTATTGTCCGATTTAGCCCATTTTCAATACCATCCGTCCACGTACCAAGTATCGTTAAGATATCTCAATTTTTACTCGAGTTATCGTGTGCACAGACGGACGGACGGACGGACGGACAGACAGTCACCGCTTAATGGATTTCTCTTTTCATTGTGATCATTTATGTATACATTTGTCTATATCTATCTCGATTCGTTTTGCCTGTTACAAACAACCGTTATGTGAACAAAGTTATAATACCCTTGTGCACAAGTGCGCTCGGGTATAAAAATCAGTGCAATGTAGAATAACAATATGAGCGACAAAATTCTGCAGTCTTTAAAAACAATAAAGTTTTTATTTTACAAGAACGAATAGGTATTGAAAATGCGCCTTTAATAAATTTAATCTTTTTAAGTTAATAAAGTTTGCAGGACGGAATTCAATGATGAGGTCGTGCGTTAGTCCTCAAACAATATATATATATTTAAAAAAAAAAAAAAAAATATTGCAAATTTTCAACGATCTTTAAGGAAAAAAATTTTAAAGGCCATTTTCCATACCCATTCGTCCTTATGCACCAAAAAAACCGATTAACCGATTTCAAAATAAAAAATATGGTGGGTGACAGAAAAAAAAAAATATCACCCCAATATAAATATGCACATACAAAATCCTCTCGAACGATATTTAAAGTACTTTGCTGAAGTCAAAAGTGTTTTTTGTTTTTGTTTTAATTGAAATGAGTAAGACTTCCGGCGAGATCGCAAGATCACATTATAACCTCATCTTAGTGGTAGGAACCAATCTCGCAGTCGGTTAACAAGCAGGAGTTGGGAAGTGACAAGAACTTTCTCTGCCAGTGGTCCTCCTTGGCGAAAACCCGTTTTCAAATTTTCAATAAGCTAATTTCTAGTGTCAATACGACTTAAAACTTTCTGTCGTATAAGCTTTGGTAAAAAACAAATGAAAATTAAAAAAATTGGCCTTCATTGTTACTCGAGCATCAAGCAGTTGGCGCGTTTGGAATGCTCCAGAGCATTATTTAGGATGTTTATGAAAGTATAGTAAATGAGTAGAAGTGGAGACTTAAACAGAAAGTGCTAAGATCGCTGAAGAAATGACCGAGGCGAGGCCTTGATCCATGGCCAAAAAAAACCAACCCACAGATTTCTTGAAAAAAACAAAAAAGCCTTCATTTTCATTTGAAAATCGTTTCGTAAAAATCTGAATTTAATTTGATTATTCGTTGAAATTGACACTACTTTCTGCTCTTTTTGTTAACGTCAAACTGATCACAAATAATCCAATCTCCGAACTGGAGCCTAGCTGATAAGCGATGCTTCCATCTTCCCTTAGAAGTGTACGCACAAATGCTTCTTCCTACATAACTATATACATACATAATTATAGTGGATATCAAAAAGGCAAAGAATATAGTCCATAAATGCACTTCGCACAAATAAATTACAAAGCTGCAGTGCATCTGTGGTAGGAGCAATCAACGGAAATGCATTTTTTTATAACTTTTCCACAAATGTGGTTACGATTACGTACAAACACACACTACCCAGTATGAAAACTATGAACATATGTCTGTCCTATATACAATTTATAAATTGCGTATATTAATAGAATGACACCATATTTCTTTTGCCCATGAATGCATGCAGATAAAGTTGTGGCTGCTTGACGCATTGTGCGTGGGAATCATGTGAGAATTTCAGCACATGCAATAACTTGCTACCAGCTAACATAAGGATATTTTAATTCTAAACAGCTTATCCCATCTGGTAGCTAAATACCATACCTGTGCATTAAAATAATTATTTTGTGGATATAAGTGACACAAAGAAAAATTATTAAAAAATGGCAAAGGGAAAGGGCGTTAAATGAGGCATTAAATGTACATATTAAATGTACATATTTTATTGCAAACATGCACGAAGTTATGGAATAATCATGGAATCCTCTTAAAACGCTTTTGTAAAATTATAGTTGGCCTCCGGGAGGAGTTCTGCGCTTGCTGTAGTCTGGTGTACTTGCACGTTTGAATATAAACCCACATAATGATATTATTTTACTGTTTATAAGACTCAAAAAAAATCTAGAGAAAATTAAAAAAAAAAATTAAATTTGTAATGTACTCATTATACTCAACTTCTGTGTAGAAAAAAAAATCATAACTCAAATTACTGTAGAGTGCACCCCGTAATACTATATATAGCGCAATATTCAGAGCCACCATTGTGATTTTTTTAAATTTTTTTTTTGAGATGGCATATTTTCAAAAACTATTTTTTTTTTAATTTGTATGTGAAAAATTTTTCAAGAAAAAAATTTTTTAAAATATTTATATTATTTATAGAATAGGACCCCCTGATTTCAAAAATACCCCCCTTTTTTCTAGCAACCCTATAGTTCTTATATAATTTGTTGTTAAAGTTTTCGTATAAACGATGAATAAGGTAGCAAAATAACATCAAACTTGGGCTGCCAGACTGGAATTTTGAATAATAAAAGCGGATTTTTAATTCGGAATTCGGAATAAAAGTACCTCTCTTTTGACATACAATAATCCTATTCTTTATTAAAAAAAATGTATGAAAAAACAAGTTTTTATAAAAAAAAAATTTCTTTTTAACAAATTTATTTTTGCGTAGAATTCCTTTCTGCGTAGGCGGCTTTAGGATTATAACCCTTACCAAATAGAATTCTCCTTTTGGTGTGCACCAACTGATGTAACTTTGGGAAAGGATAAGGTAACTAGAATTCCCTTCTGTGATGTCTATTATGGTTATGATCAGGACTAAGACCCATATCGATCCCAATATATATTTTTCCAATCAGAGAAATGTACGTATTCTGCACTTATGCCGTACTATACGTATACCGCATAATAAACGCCCAGAATAAAAGTAGCGGTAAATTTTCATTTTCTTTTGTACTGATTTCCCCTATATTCCTTTTTAATCATTGCCTTCTTAGTACGTGTTTGGTTTGTACAATATGGCAACACATGTTATGTGTCAGTTTGCAACCATGTGTTATTGTAAATATGGGTGCAATTCAATGCAATTTACAAGTCAATAAAAGTTGCATTAAAGTGATTTATATACAAGATAAAATAAAATAAAAGTGTGTAAAGTATTAAGTACAGTGTTATGTGCATTTAAATATATGAAGGTATGTGACAAATGCACTTTTTGTTAAGGCAATCAAGTGTAACGACTTAAGAAATTTTAACAACAAATATATTGTTTATATTTTTTAGTTATACATGTTTTAGAGGATACCTGCCTTAACATCCTGACCAAGTTTCATTTGTTAATTCCACCTGGTTTTCTTAAAACACAAGGTGCGGCTGACTGCTAAAGTCCACCCGTCCATCAACCCTAAAAATTTGAAACAAATCAAACACATGAAGTTCCATTTTAGTATGGAACGCCCCATATACAGTCAGCTACCACTACCCTCGCACACCTAGCTCCCCTCCAGTACTGCTGGAGTCAATCTCTACTTTTGACCCGCTACTGCACCGACTCCTAGGTATGTAGCTACTCCATTAACCCGTGGTAGTGCAGAGTCGAACCAGTCGGATGCTAGGGTTGCCAGAATTTGTTTGCAAGAAATCAGTACCTTAGACTTTTTCATGTTATAAAAATCAGTACCTTTCAGTACATTTTTATTCAAAGCAAGCATACAAGTAACAGAAAATACTTTAAAACACCAGAGAACTTGTTTTTAGCAATATTTTGGTATATGAAGAAAATGTGTAGTAATGAAAATTAAGTATTTTCGAGATAGCTAACAACACTCGACCTAAGCAACTCCCGGTAGTGCAGAGGGAGCCGATGGCCGTCTAGGACATTGCCTTGTAAAAGTAACCGCTGAAATGCACTGCAAGTTTACAAGGTAGCTACCGATTTGTCAGTCCTGTAGTCGCTCCCCCGTACTGCAGGGTTGATAGTCATAATTTAAAAGTAATTAAATTAAATAATAATAATAGTATAATAAACTGAAGTATATTTTTAAAAAGCTGTAATCTGAACACCTCTTTGGTTAGAGGTGCCACCCGTCAGAGCAATAAGAATCAATTAGATAACTTAAGTTTCAAAAAATTTATATTTATATGAAATAAAAGGGATTATATGAAAACTTTAATAAAGTGATATTTTTGTGTAGAGTTGCCGCCTTCCAAAAGTACTTAACGTAAAGTTCACAACTTGTGAAGCCAGAAAATATTGCAATGTGCGTATCAATGATATATTCATAAAAGCAAATTATATATGTAGAAATATTTTTGGGCAACATTGGCATATAGAAGAAAATATTTTTTGTTAAAGCTACAAAGCGAACTGTGTTTGAGGGAGCTTTTATTAAATCATATGAAAAGTATGTATTTTAAAATGGGCATTTAAGAACATACATACATAAATTCATTTTAGAAATATTTTTCAGTAGGGTTGCCACCTAACGAAAAAGGGAGATCGTGAAACCTATGTATGTATATAAACACGAAAATATTGCAATCTGGCCATCAAGGAAAGGGTTTCAAAATAAATTAATTGTTAAATATTTTTGAGCAAGGCTGCCACTTAGAAAAAAATTTAAGAAGCTTTAACTAAAACACTAAAAAAAAATTTTAATCGGCATTTAAGTAAATTAAATTTAACAAACAAATATTTTTGAATATGGTTGCCACATAAAGCAACCATACAAGCATGAAAATATTGCAATATGGGTATACAACTAATGATATTTCAGAGCACTTTTGTTCAAAAAAAATTTTTTTAAAGGCTAAAGTTTTTTTTTTTAATAAAATTTGTTGGCAGTAAGATGTGGCAACGCCACTGAGAAAGAAAAATTAGTTATGCATATAACGTTCGCGTTAGTAAAACGTTCATAACTTAATTTAATTTTAATTATGCTAGTTTAGTTATTTTCATAAATACATAAAAGATAGAAGCAAATTGTTTGTATGTACCTTTAAAGCCTTTACCTTTAAAACAAGCACACCCCATGATGTATCCCATCATCAGCGTGACTTGTTTTACGCAGCTGCAAGCACTGACGACGATACGAGTAATTATCCACTGGATAAACGTACAATTGGAATGCTGCTAATTGCACACTTGAATCCTTTCAAGCTGATGATGCGTGGCAAAGCCGTGCTACTGCTCTGCAAAATACTACCGTGTGTGGCGTTCACTTCGATACGAGATGTGTGTGTGTGTGTGTGTGTGTGTGTGCGTGCGTAGATATGTTAGTTAAGGATATTTATGTAATGTCAATGTCCTTGCGATAGAACTTTTATAAATAGAAATTTTACAATATGCACAGCGTAGATTATATGTATGTAGTTGTTGTATTGATTAAAGATTTAAACATTTAATTTAAAGTTGGAAAAACGTATATCAAAAATTTAAATTTAAATTTTCTACTTTTTTGCGAAGAAGTAATTAGATATTTAAAGTGGATAATGTTATTCGTTTAGCTGCTAGTTGATTTTTTATGTTTTGAATATGTTAGAATAATTTGTTATATTTTGTGCTTATTTTAATATTTTGTAAAAAAATGTTTTGGTTTTTCGGTTATTTTAAATTCATTAATATTTAAAGTTATTAATATTTATGTTATCAAATACTATCACAATATCAATATTTATGCTATATGCGCGGAATTGTAGAAAAACGTTTTTTTTTTTAATTACAATTAAATATTGTTTTTGGGTTTTTGCGTTTTCAATACTTTGACACTTATTCACTGAATCCAAATGCTATTTCGACTAGTATTGTGTTTTTTAATTAATATTATTTGTTCACATCAATTTTTGCTAATATGATCGCTGGGAATCTTTTTTTGCTTTTGTTTTTCGATTTGACGACGCTTGGATTAGATTAGATTGTGGATTAAAAAAAGTTTCTCAAACCATTTTGCGTGGAGAAGCGATCAGCTGAAAATTTTCTAATTAGATTGGTATTTTTGTTGTAAAAATGGCAGAATACGGTAGTGCTTTCAAAATGCGCAAATAATTTTTTTCTATTTCACATTAAGAAGTATAGCAGCAAATTATTGTTTGAGCACAACTTTTTTTTATAAAAATATGGTTCATGCTTTAACAAAAACTGCATAAATCACACTTTCAAACTTTATACAAACTAAAAAATTTCGAGCTTTTTAACCAGAATTTTTAGAATTTTTTTGGGTATGTAGTTAACAGGCTTATAAAATTCTAGCAAAATAAGTGCAACCGGCTACAAAATCGCATTGATTTTTAATATTTTTTTTTTGTTACGTATATTCAGTCTTTAACGTACGAAACATATCTAGACCTATCTATAAAGGCAGAATTTATCGCCAGGAAAAAAATTCTTGAAATTATATCTTCGGACATATGAATTTTCGGAGTTTCCATACCTCCATAAATTCTTTTTTTTTTTTTCTGAGTGTATGAATGAAGCCATCAATATTTCCATCTGGTATTTCGTAGTGTGGCGGCTGTGGGCACTGAACTCCATCGTAAGCATAACTAAGCAATTCCAATGACTTTTCAGTACCCTTTGTGCGTGCCCGCTTCTATACACTGAGAAAAGAGTTTATTTACGTCAACTATATAAATATGTTTTTCTCAACACATGATTTTGTGGGATGTATTACCAAAAAAAATATCAAGGAAGTAAGCCATGGGTTGTTTTTTTTTTTGTAATTTCAAAAATGTAAGCTGGAAGTGAAAATCCGAAAAAACTACAGAGCGCGTGGATCAGATGTTAGAACGGTCATGTGTGCAGGACACATTCCAAGTTGCGAGAGAATTTAGAAGAAATCTAAAATGCATAACACAGTCAGCTAAAAAAAACCGACGCCATTTTCTAGCGTCTTGAAACTTTTGCTTTACGAAAAATTAATGGGCTATAAAACTGCAGACCAAAAAATTTTTTTTTTTAATTCTGAATAAAACGTTTAAAATTTTTTGGAGAAATTTTTAAAGGTTTTTTTTTAATTGTTATAATTTTTGAACAATTTGGAAGATGTGGATTTATATGGTGCTCGTTATATATTTAAAGTGCTACACTTAAAAAAATAAATAAATATTAAATAAATGTCACTTAACTTAATCAGCTGACCACAAGGGTACATACTTATTCGGTAGTCAGTAAAAATCTATTGTTCATTTGCCTAATCAAAGAACTAAATAAACAAACATTTTTAAATATACATATCTATATACTGTGTATATGTACAAAAAGAAACGGAAGTTACCACAAATAAGGAAGGTTGGCGTAAATGTTATTCGCGCAGTGAAAAACGTTCCGTCTCGCGAGCTGTCTGGAATCTATAAATGGATATGTGCGAATTAGTCTTGTAAACGTACATGGTAATGTAAATATGTATGTGCATTAGGGCGGCGCAAAAACGCATGTGGGGGGGGGGAGCTAAGTCGGAATTTTAATACTCTCACCCCCTAGGATTGTTCTATGTGGAGAAAATATACCGCTGTTTTTTTATCTTGAATAAAATATTTTTCGATCTGAAAACCTTGTTTTTGTTCGGGAGACTTACAGTAAAATACCTAATTGTTTATTTTACCATGTTTTAATATTAGCGTTTTTATTTTTAAGAATTCTATACAATTTCTAATAAAAATTGTTTTTTTTTTTGGTTTTCCGATCGAAGAGTATTTATTTTCGAGAATTCTATACCATTTCTACGAAAAATTGTTTTTGTGCTTTCAGTGGCCTCTAAATATTTTTCGATTTTGAAATTAAAAAACAGGTATTTTTGCTCGGCATTGCATAGTCCGAAAAGGTGACAGCATTAAAATTCCAACTTCACTTATTTTTGGATCACCCTAATGTACATACATACGAGGAAAGACTGAAGCCGAATTTTGCGCTCCTATATACTCTAATGTATATAAAAAAAATTTTTTATGCGGGCTAGTTTTATTAGGGCAAATATTTTACACATGTCCAAATCTATTTTATTTGATATAAGAGTTCGCTTCTTAAATATTTGTGGCAGAATAAAAAATACAAACGGCTTTTTATCGATAGTATGAAGATTGTTTTTGATTTTGTACTGAAAAGATCAAATTCAACTTCATGCTTGCAATCAATCAATGTACATATTTATCGACATTGTTATCTTCAATACAAATATCATTATCGGCATTATAACATTTTTTTTTTTATATATTGAAAGTGTTTTTGTACTTAGTAGATGATTCATAAACATTGTTATTCTACCTTGGGCTATAAGCCGGCATCCATTGGATGACACAACGCCCCC